ATCGGTGATCGGTCCTGTGGGAACAATGCTCCGTCCTCTCGAGGACGCGTGGTCAATGGTCTAACCGCTAAGAAATGCAAAACATAAGAGTACGCCCCCCCCCCCCTCCCCCCGCACAAATTTCACTGTTCCCTCCGAACACCATCATGGAGGCGAAAGCATTGTGTTCCGAGGCACTCAAATCACACGGCCGCCACGAGTTAATCAAGAAGTCCCTAGTGGGTTGTTTGTCTCGGAAACGATAAAAACTGCACTACGAACCTTCGACGTTTCGGACATCGGCAGCCCTGGCAGCTGAATCGCTTGAAAACCCACCGCAAACCATTGGCTACAAGATCTGGTTCGACCCGACATCAGCCATGCTCTTAAACCTATTCGATGGGCAACTTACACCTAGGTTGCAGAGGCCGGTCTAGAAAAAAACGCTTGGGGTCATATCCACCTCGCGGTGGGCAACCGGGAGCAGGTCAGAGGCAGCACTTCTTTCAAACGGATCTGAAAAACCTCCTGCGGCAACGGAATGGCCTGACCTGGTGCTCCTACAAGGCGTCAGAAGACAAACCGATGGGTGCACAGTTTTTCTTTCGCACTTTCTGCCTTCTACGCTCGAGCTCTGGGTGATATCTAGACTTCCAGAATAGTTGTCGGCAATACTCCCCATCGCGCAAGAATTTTGCACGGCGCGAGGTTTAACACCCAACTGAAACAATCGCTGAATTTCATGAGGGTTCTCTTCACCCACGTTTCCCTGGAGTTGAAAGCTTGATCCACACGTGGTCATTCTGCGATGACAACAATCGAACGAGCATATTTTCGCCGCCAAGCGTTTCGGTCCTTTGGTTTGGTCGGCGTCTACTGATCCCACGATGTTGTTGTTCTCGTTGGTTGCGCTACGTCCCTCCAGTCCGACGAAGCCGCCGGGGTAATTTTTTGCTGCCGCTGGATCTGCTGTTGACAAGCACGACCCGCCGAACATTGCCAATCTTTGTGGTGTACCAGTCACGGGGTTTCCTCTGCTACAATCTGGTGACGTGGCTAGCTCGTCGCTCGGGATTGCTCCAACGACATTTGCAAAGGCGGCTGATCTTACTGTTCCTCCCTTCGAGCATGGCCTAGCTGCTGCATATGATGCGAACGAAGTACCCTCTGGCTGCTGCGAGCGGCCGTTACAGGCATATTGCCTCCTGCCAACGGACTCAGCAAAAGCGGCATCAGCGCCACCGATGTCAGCTTGTCGTGGAGGGTTCTGTCCTCTGGTGCCTAGAATGCAGTCCCAAGAGGTCGCACACCCACAAGTTCCACAACCAACATCCTCATCGTGCGACGTTTGGCCTCCTCCCCAGATTCTCCTAGAAATCCCTGCTACTGTGGAATCCCGGGCGGTAGGGTCCCACTCATGCCATTTCTCGGTCTCGGAAACGGCTTTTTCACACACATGCGAGTTTCCCAGAACCAGGTCCAAACCATCCTGCCTCAGATCGGAATGGTGAACTCCTTTCTCTGGACCTGGAAGCAACACCTCCTTCTTTGAATGCTTGGGTTCTTTGATTGGCGTGCCACCTACTCGGTCACAAGTTGCCTCGTCGTCCTCATCGTCCATGTCTGCGCAGTCAACGAGGGCCGGGGCTGCTACTCCAAGGTACTTTGTCCTGCACGGAACTCGCGTTTCCCCGGCCAAAAGCAAGTCCATTCCATAGGCGTTTCTGCCCGAAGCTAACGGACAGCAACCCGTGATACTGAATTCTCTTTCCGCGGTGCAGATGATTCTCTTGCCGTCCTTTTTCTCCGAGAATGCCGAAACGTTTTCATCGAACGCCCGCGCTCCCTCAGCCGGTGTCACCGACTGTCTTTCCAGTCGTGCTGCGGCATCTTCCTTCGCAACAACGATTTCGCCGCAGGTCTTCATGACCTGAGTCCCCGCCGACCGCGGCGAAATCGAGATTGCAGCCACGGTACTAGCTGTTGCGGTGAAATACTGTTCAAGTGGGCACGTCTTTGCGATGACCCCACCCGCAGACGAACTGTTGCGGGGCCGTTGCGTAGAGAAAGGGAGGCCCGCAAGTGAGGCGTTTCTAGTGGGTACCGGAGCAGAAATTCTTCGCTCCGCCCTTGTTCCGGTTGGTTTTATTTCCGCCTTAGTCACCTTGGGTGTGATGGCTACCCGGCTGATATGGGCGGGCAACGGAATCGGTTGAGGTTCCACTCGCCTAACCCTGTCAGTCCCGGGCGGTCCAACACCGGCAGCCTTCACCGCCGAGGCAGGATTAATCGCGCCGATTTTCTCAACGTCGATGGGTTTGGTCGGGTTGTCGGCACTGCTTTTGCAAGTCTTGAGTCTGGAAGGATGAGCGCCCTCCGCTGACAATATCGGTTCCGCGAACTTGGTCTTGAGCTTTCGGTGACTTCGAAAAAAGTTGGTGCCCTCGTTCGGCCGATCGGGAGGGGGCGGAGGGGGGCTTCGGTGGGGCGACGGGGCGGTTGTCTCGTCGGCGGTTCTCCCTTGTTGATGATGCCATTGTCGTCCTTGCTGCCGCCGCCGCGGCTGTTGCTGTTGTAGTGGTTGTTCTTTCTCTTGCTCTTGTGGTGGTGGTGGTGGTGGTGGTGGTGATAGTGGTGGTGGTTTTTGTCGTGGTCGGAGCGCCCGGTGGGAACGAAGGTGGCCATACCTCTTGTACACGTCATAGATAAGACCCCACGTCGCCTGCGTGGCGCAGTTGGCGCGTTTTTAGGATTCGGTGGAAATACCAAAGCGCGGAGAGTCGGAATGGGGCAGAAACTGCGCAATAGCCGTCGGCAAAGCACGTCTCTGTTTGTAGCAAGCACAAAAACTGTTTGATAGGCTACAGACAAAGCATGGACTTGACGATCTCGGCATCCGACTTGCGTGATGTGGAGTTACGTTTTGCTCCGTCGGTCGTGCAAAACTCACCGCGGCCCTTGGCGCTTGCGGAAACGGTATGTGTACAGCCAGAAGGGTGGTTCGTCCCTTTCATCGAGTGTTGACGACATCTCTGATAGCGGCGTATAGAGGTCTGGAGGCGATGGAGATTTCGTTCTCCAACGTGCCGAGAGAAAAGAGGGCGGCGGAACCTAGCCGACCTACCGACAGGTATGCTATGGAGGCTGAGGAAAAATTGATATTCGACAATCCTGCTCTGGACACCCTAGAGATCACGACGAATACGGAACGCGAGGCAGGGACAGCAAACCTCCCTGAGTAGATGAGGAACGTCAATCGCATCAAAGTTTCCTGCCACGTTGAGCCCCCGCCAATCGAAGTTGCCTGGAACGACTTCCCCTGAAAGAGTGATGTTGCTTTGTGATATTAGAGGCAAATACCTCGTGGTCCCCTTCGAGTATTGCCGTCTCGCCACGCAGCCACGTTCCACCGATGCCACCTAGAGCGGCAAACGCCGATAGAGCCGAGCGAACATTGTGCTTCGCCCTAGCGGCATTTGCTGGCGCCCCACACGTTCCCTTTAAGACGAAGCGCCCCGGGCACGAGGGTATCTCCGACAGCGGCAACCCCCGCCCGCCTGATTTCAGCGCAATGCGGGGACCACGATGAGAGTACCCCAAGGAACGGACATGTAGGGCGAGACGCTGGCTCAGTGCGATACACCCACTGTAGAATTACTTTTTTACCGCGGTGGAATCGTTGTTGAGGTGCATCGGCGAATGTTGTACCCTTTTCACTTGTAGGTGGCAGTTTGAGCTTTGTTCATCCCGGTCATACCGGAACAATGGGAGCGGATGGGACGAACCTCGAAGCATGGACAACCAAGAGGCAAGAATAGCGGTTTATTTTATTCGCGTCTGTGCGGCAAATGCCGGGCGCAAAGTGCGGTGTAGTCGAATCACGACCAGCTCCCATGTATCGTCCAACCCATACTCCCACGTCATCATGTCGTTGGAAGTCCGTGTACGCAATCACGTGTACGCTCCTTTTGCTACCGGCGGATACCATCAACTAACGAAGTACTTCTTCATTAGTATTATTCACCCGAAGCAGCGTAGTCGACGGCCGCAGCCAGTTCGCACAAAACTTCTCCGCTGGAGAATCGATGGTGGCAGCGAGGTCCCTCTCCCGCTAACAAAGACCAATCGACCTGCTCCAAAGTTGCAAACGCCCGTGGGGTCCGTAGTGGCGGGTAAGTAGGGGAAAGTACGCCGCTAGAATACGAGCCATCCACATGAACATGTAAAACGAGCTACCCAGAGATATCCTTCCCCAGAGCACGAGCCTAACACCCGTGGATCGCCTTGTCAAACTCCCGTTGAAAATCGAGACAACCCAGCACCTCGTGAAACGGAGCTTCCTTCGGTATAAATGTCGTGGCCATTTCACGGACGTGGCATTACTGGCACAGGGAGACTGCGTGCAGCATCTTCAACCTACTTACTTAGTGTGGAGGACGGTGTTAACCGATTGTTTGTACTTCGATTCGTCATGGATTGCGTCCGCCTTACAGCGCAGAAATCTACTCCTACCTTGATTAGTAAGGGTTCATCGAGCGAAGAGAATCCTTTTCGATACCAAAAACGCACGTCACGAGTAAAAAAAAAATACAACCTTTACGAAATCGGGCCAAACGACACATTGTGTAACCTTCCGGTTTATCAGGTCAAGAGGTCCGGACCAATGCTAGCACCTGCCAGTTCTGTCTCACCTGGCGGCAATGACAGGATTGCTCTCAGGCTGAACGGCGGTTATCTCATGCGCCAAACGTAGGGATGAGCCCCAACGTATACTCAAAACAAAAAGATTCTCTTCGGTCGTTTATCTGGGGTCGGCTATGAGCAGCGTAAATACAAGTAAGCACCCTTTACCACACCCGCTCCGATAGTCCACGGTCGAGTGATTCAGGTGTTGAGTCGCACCTTAACCCCTAGGCGATCCATCCACCGCAGAATATCTCTCCGGCCCGCTCGTCTCTTCCCGGCCTCTGTGATGCCTGCACAGGTCTCGTTATTTCGAGACAGGGCGTTCGGCATCTCCTTTCCGCCGCTCCGAGGACGATTACCAACTTCGCCACGTTCGGTGGTGCGTGAGAGTGGTCCAACCCGACCGGTTCCCGTCGTTAGTCGTACGGACGTTGCTATTTCTCTCTTCGTTCCCACAGAACTTGCAGGCGGATGAGCAGCGATAGCAGTGACTGCAACAGCAGCATCCCGTTTCAAGTTTGGAGACACAGCGACCCGAACATTTGACCGTGCTGCCGACGACGTGTTCCTCGTCTGATTTTTCGTCGTTCCAGCGGCAACAGCAGCAAAGGGGGTCAGGGAAGCACCACCGGGAGCCGAGGCAATGGCAGCGGGAGAGGGTCGCTTCGTCTTTGCAACTGGTCCTCGATCGTCGTCCTTTCCAATGCCCAACATACAAGTTCCTCGATAGCCCCCGACACGACGATTTTGTAGCCCCGCCGCTGTCACGGACGGCCCGGAAAACCCTCCCGGAGGTGGCGGTGGCGGGGGTGGCGGACATGAGCGATCCGTGGAAGCTGAATGCCCCTGCGTTGTGCCGTGAACCCCGTTTGGGGTGTACGCGTTATGATTTTGAATTTGGCGCTCTATTCGACGGTTACTTGTTGTTGCTCGACAGGTGGCGAGAGTCGGGTCACTAGCGTGTGCTCTTCTTCTTGCAGCTGTAGTGCTTGGCTCTGTTGGGAGGCACATGTTCTGGGACCCGACCTTGTTGAGGTCGCCTTTGGTAGTCTCGTCCAAAGCGTTGCCAAGAATCCCGTTGCCTTCTTTGTTGATGACCTTGGCGTTTCTGCTGCGTTTGGGGCCACTGAAATTCGTGCTACCGTTGCTCCCGCTGTGCCTGACATCCTCAGGGATCGTTCTGGTTTTTCCGGCGCCATTGTTGAGCTCGTTCAGCCTCTTCAGAAACGCCACGAGTTCGCCGCAAGCGTTTGCTTCCCCTCGGCATACCCGAAGCGAAAACGTCGGCTGCACGGGATCGAACGCGGATGGTAGTTGCAGAAGCATGGCTACAGATCATGATTGTGACGGGGCGGGGGGCACTCTGGCCACAGATCATGTTGTGGGTGGATTGGCGAAGGGGTGGGGGGCCCTCAGCATCGTATTCATTTCCTGTGTTGCAGCAGGGGTAGGATGCATCATCGTGACCAGTGGGTATGGCCCGTGCTCCTTTTCTCCTCCGTTCACTTTCCGAAGGTGACACAAGAGAGCACAGGCTGGTGATATGATTGTAGAGTATGAAAAACGTGTCACCGGGTGTGGTATCCTAGAGGAGTGCTATCTCGCATCACCGGAATGATAAAGTGCACATTGACGGAGCCCACAATCCGGGTGTGTGGTAAAAGAAGGGTGTGATGAACAAGGGGGTATGACAAAAAATTGCCAACAAACGTTGCTCCCCTAGTTCTTGAAGGGAGTGAGACAAATTAAGGGTGTGTGATACTGAGCTTGCCAACACATAGCCACGTTCCCACATTCCCTGAAGGGGTGTGATATACGAAGGGGGTGTGGGTGGCTCGGGGCTAGAGGGTACTGCTCTTCTGCGGGCTTCGTAGACTTTGTTGTGCGGCCTTTGGCATTTCGTGTGGTGGCAGATGCTGGTGGAGCCTCATTACCTGGTTTGGCGGTAGGTTGTTTTGAGAAAATGACGTGACAGCTTGTGGCGGTGCCGGCGCAGACTCTGCTGGTGTCGTCTGAGCCACGCTAATTTTCAGCGAAGATATTTCAGCAGGTTGTGTACCTTCTCCACATCCTTCGTGTTGTCCGTATTCGTGTGCATTCCAGTTGCGTGCGCTACTCGTGTGTGTGCACGTCGCGCCGCCCACGTCAGTCCCGCCAGGTGTGATAATGGGGCCTCCGTGATACAAATGCCCCGCAAATAAGGGGGTGTGCTATTTTGCGTCAACGGTGGTAATAAATTGACCATTATTTCTGTGTCCAAACACTATTTCCGGGTGTGCTTTCGTGGAGTCGTGTTTTGGGGGGGGGTGCTATCTTGCCGGTGTGCTATCTTTCGTCCATTTCGGTGCCCGAACTAGCTCCTGTTTGATAGAGTTTCCCTATAAGCATAGTTTGCCAACGCGATCTTGTTTGTGGTGCAGGGGTGAATGTCAGGCGCGGGGGGATACACCATTCATCGTTAAGTGTGTGTGGTATCACAAACATTACCTTGAACGAGATGAATCACCGTGCATGCTCCAAGCAAATCGCCACGGACATGCTAGTTGAAACATTACCTATTTTCGTCTTGATCTTGGTTATGTTGTCTTTCGATCAACAATGTGCACCACAGAGCACGTGTTGCCCTTCCTTGTCCCTGAAAAAATCTCCACATCATGCATCCTTGCCTAGTTGCGCATTAAGAGGCGTCACAATCCTCTTTAACCCTGAAGCAACAGTGTACTCTGACAAGGGTAGGTTGAGCGTGTCTAGTCGAAAACAGTTCATCCTACTGCTTGGGCATGAATATAATTCACCTGAAGGAGTCTCGTCGGCACCGCGCATGTGCCTCTCCTTTTCTCAACGGCCGCCAAGGCTTTTCGCAGACGGCCGGCCGCCCCGATGTTGTCCGAACATGCGGAAGAATATCCCTACATGTGAATTCAACAGGCAACAGTCAGAACGAGTTGCGATGAGAAAAGGAAAAGGTGATCCACAAACTTTTGAAAAAACGAAGTTACTCGGAAATTCGATTTGCTGTAACCTAAAACCTCGGTAATGAGATCCTGGCCAGCAAGATAAGGGTATCTGCGGCTTCTTCAAGGTCGTAGCAAAAACCAAAACCTGACAAGAAAATGAAACGGTTAAAGATCAACGAACATAGCAAAAACGCTGAACGGGGCCCCGCCTACAGGTAGGTAGCGTCGAACCACAGGGGTGACACCGGGAAACGTGCTTTCGGATTCTGGGGTTCCGCAAAAGGTCTAGCCTCACGAAGATGACGCCTCGAACGCTTGTCGGGGTGACAACCGCTTGCTCGGCGCGAGGTGCGACGAGCTGGGATTGTCACGTGGAGATGCGCAAACACAAATCCCAGTTTCGAATAATCAAAGCGGTGTGCACCGCGGCATCGTGCAATCACCTCGCATTGGTCAAACAGTTGTCAGTATCTCAACAATATAGAGTTCTCTTTCCTTTAGGTCACGATTCAAGATTTCACTCGGCCCTCCATCAGTTCCTACCTGCTGAAGATTCGGTTGGAAGGAACAGTTGATACTCTGCGTACACACCCGAAATAATACACCCTGATGCTCGGAATACCATGGCGGGCGCTTTGATTGATCCCCTTCACTAACCTCGCCACAGTTCTGCCCACCTCGATGAGAAGAAAGGCCTCTTCCAAGGCGACTCCGTCCGCGAGGTCGCCGTAAGTGTCCACCAGCAAACACGCGTGCCCCCCCTCCAAGGAATTCAGCCAGTAAACATCCCCGGCTGCTACACAAAATATCGCACACAGCAACATCAAAAGGCTGAGAGGGAAAACAATGCGAACAAAAAGAAATTTGAAAACGTATCCTTGCCAATTCTTTTACGTAGAATATGCATGGTAGGGGAATGACGGCAATTCAACCATGCCAGCCAATCTGGTCGCTGCACCACTATGAAAAATTACCACGCAAGACGTTACACCCTTCGTGTTCTGCGTAAAGACTACGTGGGAATCCGCTACGAAAGCTTCCGACCTGATTGCTTCAGTATCGAGTATTTATCGACTCCAAAAAACAAAAAATCTGGGATATATCTCCACAGCAAAGTCGCCGAGGAGTGGAGTGTGGAGGAGGGAATGAAGCAGAACCCGGGTGTCACGGCTTCTCCAAGAAACAGAAGCGACCAGTATCACTGACAGCTGAAACAAACGTGTGAGACACATTGAACCTTAACCTCAACAAGCATGCCACCGCGGAAACCGAGAGAAAACATGTGAACCATATCTTCGGGTCAACAAAAACGAATTGGGTGCCTCCCATCGCGCGCAGAACTGACATACATGTAGATACGGAAACGTCCGACACTCTCCAAACCTCTCCCGCCCGAAGCTGCCCTCCTTCTCCTACTCGATGCACGAGCTACCAGTAGAAGACAACGTCACAGCCAAGCAGCAGCAGCAACGCCAGCATGGTGGGGGCATCTAAGAACTTGAGCAACACGAACAACAACCTCAGGAACACCTTCCAACACTCTCAACACCTTTCGGCTCTAACCTGCCCTTCTCCTACTCGATGCATGAGCTTTCAGTAGGAGTACAACGTAGACAGTAAAGCACCAGCTGTGACACTACTGAAGCATGGTGGGACCATCAAAGTATTTGAGCACCACCAAGAACAACATCCAACACACAGTATCTCACCTTCCTGTAGCTCCTCTGCCATGCAGCTGCCTGGCAATGACGGCGTTTGTGGCAGCGGCATAGATGGTTGCCTGGAAACTATGTACCTCGGCAACCACACAGCAGTCTCCTCTTCAAAGTACCTGGCACACGCATGGATAGGGAAAGAGGTGAAAAAACGAACCAAACGCAGTTGGCGGGCCATTCCATCCACTCTGGACCGCCTCTCTGAAGCAAACATCATTTGCAGAATCTCCTCCTACAATGCGTATGCCGGTGGTCTAGCTCTTCAAAAACAAATATTTTTGACAGTGTTCGGCATTCCCTGAGACTGTGCAGCGTTACGAGACACCAGTCGCACGAGGTCGTTTCAGCGTTCTCTTGCCCATGTTCATCTCTGGACTCCGAAATGTGCTCGGTTTGTTTTCGATTGTTCGGAACCGTGCATATTTCATGGTGAAGATAGCGTCGGAATGAAGGGCAGGAGCACACCATGACCAAGGTGTAGATTCCAAAAAAAAAATGTAAGATATAATCAGAACCTCCTTTATCGGATAAACGACGACCAGCACAAGTGCCATACACACTGCCTGTTGAAAACCTTTGTCGCCGCATCGCCGCACTTAGCAGCGGTTGGGACTTGTCTCCACCAGAGCATGCATGCATTGTTGCGCGAGCACCCTGCTGCTTCTAGCCTGAAAGAGAGTATAATTTGGGATGGCCTGGAAGTATAGATCTAAGGGCCCATCCCACACCAGGACTAGCTGTGTGCCGCACTGAGAGGTTGACGCTGCATCTTGGTCAGACCTTCTTCTTCCCTAGTTCAGACAAGATCCCACTTGGACATTTATCGTGAATCAAGAACACTAAGTGACCCGTTCCATTATGATCTCCCTCTCAGCTCGTGCTCTCTTCTACCCTCGAACCTATATTGTAAGCTCAAACTAGTAGCCCAAAGGGCAGGTTCGGCAACAATGTCAACCTGTGAAGTGTGGGGTAGGGGGGCTGGAGGGACAGGACCAGCCTTCAACTGGACAGAATCGGCCTTCCGCACATTTTACTCTACGCTGCCACCGCGCCGTGTTTGTTGAATTAACTCCACTTTCCGAGATGCGGGGTTAGCTTGACAGGTCGGCGTGAAACGGCCCCACCCCAGGCGTAATTGGTGCCCTACCTATCCACAACCTGATCTCTGGCCATCGATGACGACAAAGCATGAAAAACAGTGGGATGTCATGTAGGCACGGTGTTTTACGTTTATGGATTGTCGATCCCAAAAAGCTGTGGTTTATCAGTATCGGGACAGCAAGAACTTCACCATGCCTGCTGACACCCTCAGAATTCTGCGGCTGCGCTGTCGCGATGGTCGACGCTGCCGCCCGAGACAACCTCAAGTCTGCGCCCATGAAATGACCCATTCAGCCATCACACTCAACTCGGGAACTGCGGTTCGACAACAGCAGCTCATACCACAATGTAAATGCAGACTCTTCGCATAAGGTAGCCGCTTTGGACGATCCGCCGGGGATACATAGGGCGTGTGTGGTACATAGCGGCAAGTATAGCAGGGACAAGCTATGGCTTTCGTCTGGATTGGGTGGAACATGCTTGCGATGTCTCAGCCCCAGCAGCGGATCTTACGTGCTTTGTACCCGTCGCCTGTTTTTTTTTGCTACTGACGATATACCATTTCAGGTTCAGGACTCGGAAGCCGGAAGGTCGGTAGACTGCAAAATCTGCAGCATCATTATCTTCTAGAAACACTTGGATTTAGACTCTAGAACCCATCTACTGCCCTTATTATCCATTCGCCCAATGAACGAATAACACATGGTAGTTTATGTACTCTAGTACTGCTGTAGTGAACTTATGGGGTTGTAGAGCTTCTTTTCCCCCGCTGGCACACAACCAGCACACCCATATAGGATTTACTTTCTGCCTGAAGCAGATGCCAGTACCCGGTGGCCGGCGATGTGATATCAAGGGATAACCAAGCGTGTCAGCTCATCAACTGCTCTGTCACAACAGCTTCTCCCCGATAACACTCCTTCAAGAGATGGCTTACCTGTACTGGTCTCTATTCTGCTGCTGTGGTGGCGGGTTGACAAGTTTGCAAGACAGGCTGGATTCAACCTACAACACAATAACGTTCTGTGGCGCTCACTCAAGATACGAATAGAAAATATGCGACAAAACACGGAAGGGGGCGTATCCACAAACCTCATTCGTCCCGCCAGGGGCAGCGTATAACTACAGCTGTAAAAGGTGGGGGGGTTGGATCTACCGCACCTGTTTCGTTGCTGCTAACCTGGAACCATCCTCCCCCTCGAAACAGGCCTAGATCGAGCGGCCCAGGAGCGCAGAAAAGGCTTGGATTGTTACACCCAGTCGCCGGCCCGCCAATATCAACGATCGCAGCGGGGTTGTATTCACGTGCAAGGCTCGCCAAGGTAATGCCCTGTGGAGCTAGACATACCGGCGCCCGCCGGGAATCTGCCCTCGAGGGCAGATGAGAATTCATCTGCCCTCACAAACGCCTCCCGAACCAGACCTTACAGAACCATATTACAGAACCATATTACAGAACCATATTTTCAAAAATCACAGCAGCTCGCAGCGCAGAGCCCCCACACACAAGCCGGACCACCGCACCAGACCACACAGCACGCGCCAGACCCGAAGCTAGTACCCCCACCGGGTCACAGAGTTGGTGTAGACCACCAACCGTAGCATGGAGGCAGCACATGCTGACACGTTGCAGAGCTCTGCTCTCCTGTGCTGCCGCGAGAGATGAAACTGGAAGTGCGTTGGGTTTCATCTCGAGCAGCGCAGCACAAAGTGGAGAGTCAGACGCGCATGGGGGAGAGGACGTGCTCGTGGTAGATGTTGGCGATGGCGCCGCAGCGCCAGGTCCAAGCAGCGCTCCGCCAGGACGAAGCAGCGCTCCGCCAGCCCCAGCCCCGGCCGGCCATCGCCAACAGGCAGGTCCAGCTCATCAAGGCCGCCAATTCCAGCTGAACAGGTCCCCAGGTGCGATCGCATGCAAAACGTCGAACGCCTCATGTGTACTAGATACGTAGATAACACGTCGTCCGTGCATGCAGTGTTTGTATCTCGGCACTTGTAGCCGCCCAGCTTTTCTCTGAATCCCAGGCGAGCGCCAAAATAGATGGGAAAACACACACACACACACACAACAAGAAACGTAGGGCTAGGGAAGAACTGCCCAAAGATTCTTTATTGTCGAAATGAGGATCAGAGTGATGGTAGCGAAAACAAGGACACTGGTGAAAGTACTCCTTAACGAACTCGAGTACTAGGTAATAGCNAGCTTTTCTCTGAATCCCAGGCGAGCGCCAAAATAGATGGGAAAACACACACACACACAC